TTTCCTTTCTCCTACCCTAGTCATTGGCAACTGCCATCTGCTTTCTGTCACTATACTTTTGCCTGTATTGGATTTTATTATGTTTGGAGTCCTATGGTATTCAGCCCCTTGTGTCTAACTTCTCTCCCTTAACATACTTTTGAAGTTTGTCCATGTTCTGTGTTATCAGTAATTCCTTTATTGACTGAGCTGTATTTCATGGTCTAGACATATCACAATTTGTTTATCTATTCACCAGCTGATAGTCATTTAATCTCCAGTTTGGGACTATTATAAATAACACTGCTATGAACATTCATGTACAAGTCATGTGCATGTGTAGACCCATGTTTTTAACTCCCCTGGGTGTGTACCTGGAAGTGGAGATGCTGGGCTATGAGGTAATTCTGTTTAATCCTGTGAGGAATTGCCAGATAGTTTCCTAAAGTGGCTGCACCATTTTTACATTTCTACCAACAGTGGATGAGGGTTCTGATTCTCCATATCCCTGTCTTCACTTTTTATCATCTTCCTTCTTGATTATGGCCATTCTAGTGCATGTGAAATGGCATTTCATTGTGGTTTTGACATATTTTTCTGACAGCTAATAATGTTAAGCATCTGTTCATGTGCTCATTGACCACATTGGCAAAGGATCTGAATAGACATTTCTCCAAAAGGGTATACCCAGTAATGGGATTGCTGGATCAAATGGTAGATCTACTTTGAGGTCTTTAAGGAATCTCCACCCTGTTTTCATAGTAGTTGTGGTAGTACACATTCCCACCAGCGATGTAAAAGTTTTCCCTTTCCACCACATCCTTGCCAACGTCTATTATTTTTTGATTTTTTAAATTCCAGCCATTCTTGCAGGAGTAAGGTGGTTTCGCACTGTGGCTTTGATTCACATCTCCCTCATAATCAGTGATGCTGAGCATTTTTTCATATGTTTGTTGGCCATTTGTGTATCTTCTTTTGAGAATTGTCTATTCATGTCCTTAGCCCACTTTTTGATGGGATTGTTTGCTTTTTTCTTGCTGATTTCAGTTCCTTGTAGATTCTGGATATTAGTCCTTTGTCAGATTCATAGTTTGCAAAGATTTTATCCCACTCTGGGTTATCTGTTTACTCTGCTGGTTATTTCTTTTGCTGGGAAGAAGGTTTTGTGTATAAGTCCCGTCTCTTTATCTTTGTTTTTGTCGCATTTGCTTTTGTGTTCTTGGTCATGAAGTCTTTGCCTAAGCCAATGTCTAGAAGCGTTTTTCTGATGTTATCTTCTAGAATTTTTATGGTTTCAGGTCTTAGATTTAAGTCTTTGATCCATCTTGAGTTGATTTGTTGTATAAGGTGAGAGACAAAGATCCAATTTCATTCTTCTACATGTGGCCTGCCAGTTACCCCAGCACCATTTGTTGAATAGGGTGTTCTTTCCCCAGTTTATATTTTTGTTAGCTTTGTCGGAGGTCAGTTGGCTGTATTTGGCTTTATTTCTGGATTCTCTATTCTGTTCTATTGGTCTGTGTGCCTATTTTTATGCCAGTACCATGCTGTTTTGGTTACTATAGCCTTGTAGTATAGTTTTGAAGTCCAGTAATGTGATGCTTCCAGATTTGTTCTTTTTTGCTAAGCCTTGCTTTGGCTATACAAGCCCTTTTTTGGTTCCATATGAATTTTAGGATTGTTTTTTCTAGTTCTGTGAAGAATAATGATGTTGTTTTGATGGGAATTGCACTGAAAATTTGTAGATTGCTTTTGGCAGTATGGTCATTTTCACTATTGATTCTACCCATCCATGATTTTGTTTGTGTCATATGTGATTTCTTTCATCAGTGTTTTGTAGTTTTCCCTGTAGAGGTCTTTTACCTCCTTGGTTAAGTGTATTCTTAAGTTTAGGTTTTTTTTTTTTTTTTCAGCTTTTGTAAAAGGGGTTGAATTATTGATTTGATTTTCAGCTTGGTCACTGTTGGTGTATAGCAGTGCTACTGATTTGTGTACGTTGATTTTGTATCCTGCAACTTTACTGAATTCATTTATCAGTTCTAGGAGCTTTTTGGAGGAGTCTTTAGGATTTCCTAGGTATATGGTCATATTATCAGTGAACAGCCTTTGCCCATTTTTAATTGTTTTTTTATATCTTTTATTGAATTGTGAGAGTTCTTTATATGTTCTAGATACAAGATCCCTACAGATAGATAATCTGCAAATCTCTTTCCCATTCTGTGTGTTGCCTTTTACATTCTTGATGTCTTTCAAAGTGTAAAGGTTTTTAATTTTGAAGTCCATTTATCTGTTTTCTCTGTGCTTGTGGTGTCAGGAAACCACTGCCTAACCAAAGTCACAAAGACGTAATCAACTCATATGTTTCCTATGGTTCCTTAGAAAACTCTAAGAATTTTATAGTTTAGCTCTTACATTTAGGTCTATTCCAGATTGAGTTTATTTTTATATGTGTGTGAGGTGGGAGTCCAGCTTCATTCTTTTACATGTGGGTATCTGGTTGTCCCAGCACCATTTGTTGAAAAGACTATTTTCCCCATTTAATTGTTCTGATAACCTTGTCAAAATTCAGTTGACTATAAATGTGGGTGTTTATTTCTCTATTTCCAGTTGTATTCCGTTGATCTGTATGTCCGTCCTGTGCCAGTATTACACTGTCTTGATTAGCTTTGTAGTAGTTTGGAAATCAGATAGCTTTGTAGTAGTTTGGAAATCAGAAAGTATATTCCTCCAACGTTGTCCTTTTTCTAAATTATTTTGACTATTCTGTATCTCTTGCATTTCCATATGAATTTCAGGATCAGCTTGTCAGTTTTTGCAAAAAACAAAACAACAACAAGATGGATTTTGATAAGGATTGTGTTTAATCTAGATAAGCTGGGACATTCCATGTTTATGGACTGAAATACTTAATATTTTAACAATAAGTCTTCTTCCAGTCCATGAACATGGAATATCTTTTCAGGACTCAGACCAGTCTGGTTCACCATAGCTTAGGTCTTATTTGAGTTCTTTCAACAGTGTTTTTAGTTTTCTGTGTTCAATTCTTAATACTTTTAAAAATTTAATTCTAAGTAATTATTTTCAAAGCTATTATCAATGGAATTGTTTTCTTAACTTTTGGAATATCACTAGTATAGAAAAATACCATTTGGTTTTATATATTGATCTTGCATCCTGCACCCTTGCTGAACTCGTTTATTGTAATTGTTTTATGTGTATGTGGATTCTATAAGATTTTCTATATACACAATCATGTCATCTGCAGTTTGAGATCATTTGCTTCTTTCATTCCAATCTGGATGTCTTTTTGCACCTAATTGTTCTAGCTAGAACTTGTAATACAGTCGTCCACCGCATAATGCACATGATGGACTGCATATATGACAGCGGTCCCATAAAACTGTAGTATCCTATTTTTACTATACCTTTTTTATGTTCAGATACATAAATATTTACCATGGTGTTACAGTTGCCTGAATTATTGAGTACAGTAACACACTGTACAGGTTTGTAGCCTAGAAGCAGTAGGCTGTGCCATATGGCCTGGGGGTATAATAGGCTATACCATCTAGGTTTGTATAAGTACACTTTAGGATGTTTGCACAATGACAAAATCTTCTAGCAATACGTTTCTCAGGACGTATGTCTAACATAACTGTCCATGTTGAATAGAAGAAACGAGCGTGAGAGTGAATGTTCTTACCTTGTTCCTGATCTTAGGGAGAAAGCTTTCATTGTTTCACCAGTAAGCGTGTTGTTAACTGTAGGGTTTCAGTAGATGCTCTTTATTAGGCTGGAAAACTTCGTTCCATTCCTAGTTCATTGAGCGTTTTTATCATGAAAAAGGTGTTAGATTTTGTCAAATGCTTTTCTGCAGCTATTGAGATGATCATGTGATTTTTGTCCTTTACTCTATTAGCATGGTGTATTACATTTATTTTTGTATGTTTAATCAACTATATTCCTGGAGTAAATCCCAGTTGGTCATGGTATGGAATCCTTCATCTGTGTTGCTGGATTATTACATCACAGGATCACAGTGAGGCAGCCAGGTTCATAGAACAGTAATACTGAAAACAGCAGAGCTGGAAACCTAGGACATGGGAGTGTGGGGAAGCAGGCTGTGGTATATCATATATGATAGAAGTCTGTGTGACATGTGTAGTAACGAGAATGTGACTCAGACTATTTCCTATTCAGAAATGATCCCACAGACGTGGCAGGGAGTAAACATGTGGCCAGGAGAACAGGCATATACCAATTGCTTATCACTGGATACAACTATGTATGTGCAAGTTAACAAAAACGAGAGAAGCATGTGGAGGACACTTCCAGGAACTGGTAACCTGGGGTTGTATCCCAGCCCTGCTACTGTTTTCTCTGAGATCTTGGGCAAATTTTTTCTTATATCCCAACTTGAGTTTCCATGTCGTACAGTGAGGGGTTTGATTCTTTACTGCTTTGTATCACACATGGCTTTGGTTTTGTTCTGTTCATTTAATATAATTTATAGTAAATATAGTTTAAAAATGCAAACTTTGAGGCACTGAGAGAGTGTGAGGAGTTTTTGGCCGCTTAGGGAGTGTGACCAGTACTCCCTTCCCTCTGTATCAGCTAGAACTTGTGGTTGTATGCAGGGAATGTGGGGTTCCCAGACAGGCTTGGGATACAGTGCTTCCCCTTTCCAGAGTTTGCTCTTTACCACGCACTGTGTCCAGCCCAATGCTTCCCATTTCTAGAGTATACTCAGTACCAGGTACTGTGCTCAGTGCTCCTTGCGTTATCTCTTGTTAGTCCCCAGCAATTGTGTAATGTCCATGATTTTCTTCATTTTTTCAAATGATAACAATGAGACTTTGCAAGCATAGATAGTTGTCTAAGGAGGAGCCAGGATTTTAACCCAGGCCTGAGTCCCAATGGCCACATTCTGCTGTGACACCCACCACACTCTAGTTCTCGTCTTGTTTATCCACAGGCCTCTTACCCTTCCAGGTAATACACTGTCCCCTTTGTGCCCACAGCTGACAATGAAAACAACATTGCCTCCAACCAGTCCCGATCACCACCTGCTGTTGTAGAAGAGAAGTGGAAACCTCAGTCCCAGAGGAACAGCGCCAATAACAGTAGGTCTCCCCAAGCAGGGCTGGACCTGAGGGGTCCCTTATGTTCCATTTGTTCCTCTCTGCCCGTTCCCACCAGGTGTGCTTCCTGTGATGTCACAAGATGATGCATGATAATTTCCAAAGCACTTTTCCACCTAAGACCTTGTTTGCAGGAGTTCTTAACTCGGGATGGGCAGAAGGAGGCCCAGGAAGAGTAGGTGATTTTTTTTGTGGTCAGAAAGCACCAATTTGTGCCAGAATGAGAACTAGAGCCCACCTCTCCACAATTTCTGCTGGCTGCTCTTTCCTGACATCATGATTCCACATATTTTCTTTTTCCTAAAGATTCCTATATTAGCGGAAATTCCTATATTGAGGAAGAAATTAGACTAGTTAGCTTCAAAGGTCTAGGTAAATGACATATACTGCAATTATGTTGCATACATACCTACTACACTCTATTCCCATGCCCGTGGCAGGCATTACTAATCAATCATAGAACTTTATCCTTATGAGACCATCACATATTAAAGGCAGCCAGCACCACCAATGTGTGTGCAAGAGGAAATTGATTTCTCATTCCCAATACTCAATGCTTAGAGTATTAGGCTACTGCCACCCCAAGCAGCCTTGAATGCCACAGTTAATCCCGTCTCTCTTTGTATCCTCTGCCAGCCACCACCAGTGGTTTAACACCCAACAGCATGATCCCCGAGAAGGAGCGGCAGAACATCGCAGAGCGGCTGTTGAGGGTCATGTGTGCCGACCTGGGTGCACTCAGCGTGGTCAGTGGGAAGGAGTTCCTGAAGTTGGCCCAGACCTTAGTAGACAGTGGTGCCCGCTATGGGGCCTTCTCAGTCACTGAAATCCTGGGCAACTTCAACACACTGGCGCTGAAGCACCTGCCACGGATGTACAACCAGGTGAAGGTGAAAGTGACCTGTGCCCTGGGTAGCAATGCCTGCCTAGGCATTGGTGTCACCTGCCATTCCCAGAGTGTCGGCCCTGACTCCTGCTACATCCTCACAGCCTACCAGGCCGAGGGCAACCATATCAAGAGCTACGTGCTGGGTGTGAAGGGTGCGGACATTCGCGACAGTGGCGACCTCGTGCACCACTGGGTGCAGAACGTGCTTTCGGAGTTCGTGATGTCGGAGATCAGGACAGTGTACGTGACGGATTGCCGGGTGAGCACGTCCGCCTTCTCCAAGGCCGGCATGTGCCTTCGCTGCTCAGCCTGTGCCTTGAACTCGGTGGTGCAGAGTGTGCTGAGCAAGCGGACGCTGCAGGCCCGCAGCATGCACGAGGTCATCGAGCTGCTCAACGTGTGCGAGGACCTGGCGGGCTCCACGGGCCTGGCCAAGGAGACCTTCGGGTCGCTGGAGGAGACGTCGCCACCACCCTGCTGGAACTCAGTGACGGACTCACTGTTGCTGGTGCATGAGCGCTATGAGCAGATCTGCGAGTTCTACAGCCGGGCCAAGAAGATGAACCTCATCCAGAGCCTCAACAAGCACCTGCTCAGCAACCTAGCGGCCATCCTGACGCCGGTGAAGCAGGCAGTCATCGAGCTGAGCAACGAGAGCCAACCCACCCTGCAGCTGGTGCTGCCCACCTACGTCAGGCTGGAGAAGCTGTTCACGGCCAAGGCCAATGACGCAGGCACCGTGAGCAAGCTCTGCCACCTCTTCCTGGAGGCGCTTAAGGAGAACTTCAAGGTGCACCCGGCCCACAAGGTGGCCATGATCCTGGACCCGCAGCAGAAGCTGCGGCCCGTGCCGCCCTACCAGCATGAGGAGATCATTGGCAAGGTCTGCGAGCTCATCAATGAGGTGAAGGAGTCCTGGGCTGAGGAGGCCGACTTCGAGCCTGCCGCCAAGAAGCCCCGCTCTGCTGCGGGCGAGAACCCCGCAGCTCAGGAAGATGATCGGCTGGGCAAAAATGAAGTGTATGATTACCTGCAGGAGCCCCTCTTCCAGGCTACCCCTGATCTCTTCCAGTACTGGTCATGCGTTACCCAAAAGCACACAAAACTCGCCAAGCTCGCCTTCTGGCTCCTGGCAGTTCCGGCTGTGGGCGCCAGAAGCGGGTGTGTAAATATGTGTGAACAAGCGCTTCTAATCAAACGGAGGCGGCTGCTCAGTCCAGAAGATATGAATAAACTCATGTTTCTGAAATCCAACATGCTTTAAGACTTGACTTCGGGGAAAAAAAGAAGATAACATTAGGAAAAAAACCACACAACACTGTCACAAACAAGGAATTTAAGTTCTAAACACTGTGGACCTCATTATAAATGCCCCCAGGAAACTTAAGTGCTCTTTTCCGTGTGTGTGTGTGTGCGCGCGTGTGCGTGTGTGTACACAGCCACAGGTGTGTGCATGTGTTTGAATACATGTGCTGTGGTTGTGAGGGTGTGAGGGTCTCTGTGCTCCTCTGCAGGGCCAGAGAAACTTCACACACACATGCACACGCGCACACACACACACACACACACCACCCTGGTGCATGTACACACCTGTTCTTGGACAGGTGTGCATTGAACTGGGCGTGTCAGGAAAGCTGAGCAATTGGGAAAGAGGGAGATGTTTCACCTCCTTTTCTCAGTATGGGGGCTTTAGAAGACTCTGTTTCAGGTGTGCAGATTGGTAGAAAGCTGATGTTGTGAAATGTTCAGGCAGCTGAGATCTGAAGTGACTTGACACTCTCTGTCCTTCACCCTGGTCCCCCTTGTCCCTCCTTAACCCACCCCCAGCCCTCCCACCCTCCTGATCCCATTGTGCACCCCCCGCCCCCTCGGCTGCTCTGCTGTGGACTCTTCCCGCTGCATCAGATGGATGGTTTCTGCACTGGACTTTGCTTCTCGTTCACCTTCAGGGCATTGAGCTGCTGCCTTCGTGATACCCCTTGGGTGTCCCAGGGCAGCCGCCTTAGAAACACACCTATCTATCTCCCCAAATCAGGAAAGGAGACTTTAAGAGTATAAAGCTGACATTTTGCTTTTTAATATAAGAGAGGAGAAAAAGACATTTTTCAGAGAAGTATAGATACTGTCTCCACTCCCTAATAATTTCTCTCCCTAACATTTTAGCAGTTTTTACCTTCTTTGGGGGTTGATTTTGTTTCTTCAAATTTGATTTAGACTCTGCTAGGAGGCACTGAATGTCTATAACTTATGTTTTGGAGTTTGGTTTTTCTGCTTGCCCCTTTCCTTCCTCAAGTCACACTGTAAACTAGCTCATCTCAGTGGTATACTCAGTGTCCTACGGTCTTTCTTGGCCTTCCCTGTACAGTTTGGTTTTCACGTATTTGAACAGCCAGAGCCAGGTTCTTGGTTGTGCTATTTGGAGACCAGGGGTTGGGGAGGAGTCGCGGGTTCCACAGCTGTGGGGTTTGGTGGCCGTAGGGGAAGCAGTGGTTCAGGAGTTCTGAATGTAAACACCAGAGCTGCCCTCTTGGTCCGCCGTGCGTGGTACCCAGTGTGTGTCAGTACTCATCACTTCCCCAACCCTGGCGGTCCACCGGGACTCCAAAGTTGATCCATAGTCACGTCCACCCTCCCCACCCCCAGACCTGCCACAGCCCTCGGGGTCCCCACTCACACCTCTGAATTCCTTCCAGGACGGCAGTGAGCATGGTGCCTTGTGGCCCATACGGTTGATGTTCCGAGGGTGGGATGGCGTTCAGCCACATTCGACCCGATGCTGTGAAAGATGTCTTCAGGCTTTTCTCTCCTGTTCCCCCAGCCGTGAGTAAATTAGGTTCTACACATACAGTTCAGATGCCAAGGGTGACACCCCATTCTCTTCACAAGAGGTGGTTCTGTCACAGATCACCCCCACTGCACCTCTCAGTGAATAAAGTGCTGGTGGTCACACTCCCCCGGTGACCCTTAGCATGGGATGGGGTGGTTACACTAGGGCTTCAGGCTGAGAATGGCCATCATGGCGGGAGGCTGTTCGCAAAGGCACCTTCTATCACCCTGGGGTTGGCGAGGTCCACTCCACCCCTTCCCAGTAATAAAGCATTACTCAACTGTGAGATACCTCGACTACAGAAAGCACTGTACCACAGCCCTCTCCCCCCGGGTCCGTGACGGGAGCAGGGAGGAAAGTTGATTGCAAACCTCAAGAAGGCTTAGGACCATGGACCTGGAACAGTGATGTTTGGAAGCCAAGCCTGCACACTTCGCCTCATGAGAACTCACCCGCTCTCCCCTTGAGTCTTGGACACACTGAAATGGATCAGAGTGGACCATTTCCACGTTTGCTCCAGCAAGCCGTGGTCTCAGGAACTACCGTGCCATTTCCTCTCCTGGAGAAGTTCTAGATGTTTCTTCCACAACATTTCCACCTGGGGGGCCGGGCCCACCATCGGAGAAGAGCCTCCGTCCACCCTGGAGCAGGAAGGGAGAGAAATACAGACAGGAACCTCATGTCACTCCCTAGGGAGTATGGAAAGAAACGTCAATAGACTTCTCAGTTGGGCCTTTGGAGGCATTCTGGAAGGTGACCTCAGTGTCACTGATCATTGGCAGATGCCTACAGCAAAAGGTCCCTCTAGCCTTGCATGGCTGCTGGGGAAGGGACCATGACCTAGTACTTTGAGAGCAGAGCCTTGGAACCCATACTCCCTCTACTTGGAGCAAAGTTGTGCTGGTGGTGCCCCATTATTGGGCCAGTTGATTAGAAAATAGGCATTTCACTTTCTTGCAAAGCCATCAGACTAGGCCCAGTGTGCATTTAGAGCACTCAGCTTTCTTCTCTTTGAATCATGGGATGTCTGCCCTCCAGGAAGAGAATCGATCACAGATTGTACCTCCCTTTCCGTTCTTTTCCACCTCAATTCAATACTTAGGGGTTGGCTTGCCTCTGCAAGTTTGCAGTGAATGCCACTAGGTACTCAGAAAGCTGTCCTCTGGGGCTGCCTTATCTAGTTAGATAACAAGGCAGCAGATGATCATTTCTCTCTTGCAACCTCTGGTTCCCTCCAGAAACTGGTGTCACCAACAGGAAAGGCTGTACCAAGGTGCCCTCTCAGTCTGCCTTCTCAGGCTGTTCTCAGAGTGCAAATCCTGCTGCAACTAACAGCTTCATAAAACCCAAAGATCTCACAGGCCCTGCCACTGGCTCATTTGTCTCCAGCAATATCCACCTCACCTAATTCTAGTTCAGCCAAAGGATCGAGACAGGCTCTTCCAGTTCATCTCCCGGTGTCCAGCCTGACCTTCACTTCTGGAAGGATTTTGTCATCTGCTTCCCTGTTCGGGGACCACTGTAGGCCTTTCCATCACAGGCCTTTGGGGGTACTGGGACCAGGAAGTTGGGCCATTTCTACCATGTTCTCAGCAGCCCAAGGTGGTGGCATGCTGAGGTGGATACAACTCGCCTTGAGCCTTGTCCCCAGGACAGAAATGGCCTTTGTTTTGACATACATGGACCCAAGAGGGGAGGTGGAGGAAAGACAAACACACCTCCACTGGGCAAGTTTTTCCTCCTCGTCAGAGGTCAGTTTGCATCGCCAACAAAGCCCAAGCTAAGGACCACAACATGGTGGGTGGTTCCTCGGAGTGGACTCACCCAAGGAATCTCAGGTCCACCAGGAGCAGTGGTGCCATCAGGCCCCGGGTGGATGCCCTTGTTCTGGCACAGTTCTCCACTTCTCGATGCCTGGCTCAGCCAGCCACGCCTCCCTCTAATGGCATTTAGTAACCAGGAAGCAAAACGGATGCCACCTGGGTGAAATTGCCTGCACTTCGTCTCCGGGGGTTCGCTGCACAGAGGCCACGTGCTACATCACCTGTGAGCAAGCTTCGCCACCATCCTGCTTGGCAGTGTCACACTTGACATCTGGGGATTGGTTTTTGGCTGAAAAAGGGTACCAGGGTTTCCTGGCAAGGACAGTAGGGCAGTGCAGTGACACAGATGAGAAGCTGTAAGTCTCCAGGATTTGAGGAAGCCATCAGGTGTGTAGGCTGGCAAGAGTCTTCTCTTTCTGTCTGACCCTTTATCTCCTGCACTTTCAAAGAAACACCAGAGAAAAATTCTATAAGGCGTGTTTCCACTTTGAAGCTTAACCTCTGCCTTTAGGAGTCTATTTTTGAGCAAGGCCAGCTCTTCCCCTTGAACTTGAGCTGGACTCCTTGAAGAGTGGGCACCTGGAGAGATGTCAGGGACACAGCTCATGCTCTCTGGGGGGCCTCAGGGTCGTCGAAAAGCTTTGAAATGAAGATGAGAAGTGGCTGGAGCAGGCTGTGGGATGGCTCCATTGGGGACACCCCTCATCTTGTCATCACAATGGATGTGCTGGAAGAGGAGGCTTCCCAGCGAGCCGCCCCAAGTCCATAGCTTTGCCCTCGCCTTGAGAACAGTGGCAATGCCTCCATCTCTGGGATGCATCTTAAGGAGGGCTCCTAACAAGGCCTGTGATTTAGACAGAACCAAGAGACTAAGTAAGGTCCAGCCATCCCCTGGAACCAGTAGGTGGGAGCTCCTGTCCTCGCCAGTCCTGCTGCAGCCCCCGTGTCCAGCTGGGCCAGTGGGAGAACTGGGTAGGAGGCTGCCCCCTCTTCACTGTGGCTAATGTTTGCTAGGCCAGTTATGGTGAACCAATGATACAGCGTTTTCCCTCTTAGGTTTCCCTCCTAGTTTCGCCTTTTCAGGGTTTCCTGGGGGATTTTGTCGTGGTAGTTGTTTTTCTTCCTCTCTCTTTTGGGTTTGAGGATTGTGGTAGGGGGAGCCCTGGCTTTTGCCAAAAGAGCCCAGTGGTTTCTATGGAAGAGGCGCCCAATCCCACTTTAACGAGGGTGAAGATTGTCAGGTCACTGTTTGACATATTCATGCCCCCTAACCCCCACCACCACGGTGTCGCTTTAAAGAGTCAGTTCTTGTACAGAGAAGGATTTGCTAGGTTTGCAGTTGGGCATTAGCATCACCACTCGCGAGGGCCGCGCCCAACCATGCATCCTGTGGGGCACCTTGACTCTTCAAACCAAAATTCCTTAAAGGGCACAGCCCAGCCTTGTCCGCAACCTCAGGGGCCTGGGATTCCTGTGGCACTTCCTGAATTCCAGGTTGGCACAGATGATGAGGTCTGAGACCAGCCAGAAGGAGGGGCTCCTCCCACAACCCAGGTGCCAGCCGGTCTCCGCCTAGGACCTTCCCTCCCACTCAGCCGGGGTGGGCGGCATCCCATGTGGTGAAACGAGCTCGTGGACTGACCCAGGCTGGGCCTTGCCAGCCAGGAGAGAGCGAGGGCCGCACGGGGGGCTGGCCCAGGCAGCTCGTCCAGGGCCATTGAGATCCCAAGCATCAGGAAATCATTTTGTACAACCACCCGAAGCAGAGATATTTTTTAAAAAGCGTAAATTATTTTCAGTTGTTTTCTGATCCTGCCTTTTTCTTTGCCTCACCACTTCACATTAGTGATTTGTTCACATCAGGTAAATCTTGAGAAAGCCTTGGTGCCCTCCTCCCCACCCCAACTCTAACCATGTGTGTCCATCACCCCCATCCTTTCTCAGTAGTTAAGACGTTCTAGGCAATACCATAGACACATCTGACTGTGTCTCTCTCTTCGAGTGCAAGAAACTCAAGTCATCTTAAAAAAAAAAATACAAAAAAAATTTACAAAAAAACAAACACAAAAAAAATATCTTTTTTAGGCCAGAGTTTTCTACAGGTATTAATGAATATTTTTCTTAATCCTTATAAGTTTTATGTGTTTAATATTTCTTAATACCGGTAGCATTAATTTATACTTTTGTAGCAACACAATATTTTTATAAACAGCCGGTGCTTGGCTCAAGTCTTCACGAGGGGTTTATGCAGGGCCATCTTGGGGACCCTGTGTACCATGTACTGTATTTAAAAAAAAAAAGTTACCTAGTGTCACACTTGCTGTGTTAATTAACAAAAGACGTTGTGTGCAGTCTCCTGTATCGGTGTGGATCCAGCAGCTCTCCAAGGAGTCATATTGCATGGGGTTGAGTTGACGGTTCTTCTTGTGATATGTAAACCCCCGAGACCAAACTGGAGGGTTTATTTAGGGTTTTCTGTTTGTCTTTTGGGTTTTTGTTTCACTTTGTTTTGGTACCGTTTCTCCATTTACAGCCAAATCAGTTTCATGATGTTCAAAACTTTTGCTGATGTCAAATGGAGGAAAGGAACAGAAAAAAAAAGATTTTTACAAAGTAATAAAATTTAAAACTGAGCTGTTTAATGTTGCTGTTTTTACCTGTCTGTTCTTGTCCAAAAGTGGAACATTCCCAGGGAGAAGAGGAAGCTTCCACTCGGTTCCTTAAGTCGCCAAAAGCCCCAGCCCAGGATTCAGTACCTCCCTTGCCCCCTGAATTCCTGCAGCACTATTTCCCAGTTGGTTGATGCCAAGGCAAAAAGATACCTTTTAACGGTTAGAGAGGATCAGTTGCTTAAATGATTTCATGTCAGTGTTGTATTTATGGTTTTACAATAAAACAACCTTTAGGAAGATGGCAGCGTGTGGCGTTTGTTTCTTGTATTTGGGGTTGGGTCATACTGTCCAATCGGGCAGAGCACCTGCAGGGAGGGCACAGGTGAGTGGTGATGGGCCAGAGGCAGGGCACCTGAGGCAACAACACATATCTGTCTCAGCAGGACACTGTGTGATACTGGTATTGTTGAATTACCCGTGGTGATGCTGGTATTAGTGACTTACCTGTGAGCTCACAGCTCATCTCTTGCACTGGACCTGGCTCAGCTATTTGATAAATGAGGGTGGGACATAGTCGAGGAAGATGTGGCCCTTCTGGGCTTGTGGAACATTGTCCCATGAAAGATGGGGTGGATTTAGTCTCTGTCCTCCAGGCCTAATGCCTAAGGTTGGCCCTGCACTGCAGTCATCTTCGAGGCTCCCGAGCCCCTTTACTTAGTGGCTTTGGCCCCCTAAGCGATGTGTGTGATGTTAACAACTGTTGTGTGTATCGTCATCTGCTGCAAAAGTGTCCATGGCTTTTGCCAAATTCCTCATGGCATGAGGGACTCTGAGCAAATTAGGAATGAGTGGCCTCCATCATGAGCTGCTAGAGGCCAGCCCTGGTGGGCTCGCTAAGTTCAGATGTGTGGACACCAGTGCTCTTCTGGAATAGAAGCAAACCAGAGGCAAGTCAGGGGAGAAGAGAGACCACCAGCAGGCCAGCTGGGGCCTGAGCAGGAGAGCGTGACCACTCCTCCTAGTGGGCCTACCGCTGGAATAGCCCCTTATGAGGTGAAACTGCCATCCTGCCATCCAGATGAGTGAGTGACAGACACCCCAGGCCACGGCTCGACACCATCTGTACCAGGTGTGGGCAAACTCTGCTTCAAAGTGGAGGATGTGTTGCTTGATCACCTAAAAAAAATCCATCAAACCGCACGGAGAGGCTATTGGAGCACCAGCCCTGCCCTCAAAACCATCCTGCCTTGGGAGTTTCATGCTAAGTGGACTATGTGGGCGTTCTGAGCCAACAGTTGACGTTTGATAGAGGAGTTTCTATGTAGCCTGCAATGAAAAGTCAGGAGTCCTGCTGTGGCTGAAGGAGTCCTCCTCCATGCTTTGAACATCGCAGTCAAGTAAGGCCAGGGCATGGCCCAGGAGTCCTCACAGCTAAAGGCGCAACCTCTGGATTAAAAAAAAAAATGCTTTAAAAAGCGAAAAAATAAAGAGGTTTCTTTATTAAGCAGCTATAGCTACATTTATTTTGTAGTGGAAATAAATGAGTGTGCCCAGCACCTTTGAAAGAGAAATTTGAGGAGAGACTATTTAAGAATGGAGTGAATCTTCAAGGTAGGAGTGTCCACTGTGCTGAGAAAGATTCTTGGCGCCTTCTGAGATGAGCATTTGTGAATTCCTCTGACTCGGGGTCACAAGGTACTGCACCCCCATCCCACCCCTGAGGGTTAAAAGCTAGGGTACATTGATTTTTAAATTTATTTTTAGTGAAAAGTAGCAAGTGTCACAGAGTCAAATGCCTCCAGACCAGGCAGGCCGGCGAGCAGAGCTAGTTACACAAGGCGAGGCCCTTCAGGGGGGCATCTCTGCTAAGCCCCAGCTCATCGCTGGCATCAGGATGCCAATTATGTTCAAGAGAACTGAGAAACCCAGATTTTTAGGTGGAAACTCAATTTTCAAGTGACAGATTCAGAACTGTGAAAAAAATACATCAGCCGGACATGGGAGCTCATGTCTGTAATCCCAAGACTGTGAAACCAAGGTGGGAGGATTGCTTAAGTTCAGGCGTTCAAGACCAGCCTGGACCAACAACAAAAATACCAAAATTAGCCAGGTATGGTGGCATGCACCTGTAGTCCCAGCTACTCAGGAGGCTGAGGTGGGAGGATCACTTGAGCCCAGGAAGTCAAGGATTCAGTGAGCCAAGATCATAGCACTGCACTCCAGCCTGGGTGACAGAGCGCAACCCTGTCTCAAAAACAAAAAGTACCTCGTGAGCAACATGTCCATTCACCAGCTGAAGCTGGCCTGTGCCCCTGCAGCTCGCACCCTCCAATTTAAGCATTTGTCTTTCAGTTCAAGTCACTTCCAACTATCACTCTTCAGCGTGGCTCCTTCCAACTGCCATGGCTGGCTGGCCCTGGCGTGGGAGGCACATGTGGAAGGAACAGGATGTGGACACAGGATGGGAGGACCTTAGTCAGTCCCAGGCTGGAGGGCCTCTCACTTCTGTACAATTGTCTCCCTACACCTGACCCCACCTACTTCTGCCCAGAAAGTCCTGGCTGTGACCACAGATGCTGACCCTCAGGGCAGTCTTCTCTGTTGGAACCTGGAAGCCCCATGCTCTGATGTTGGGGGAAACAAAGGGAGGGTCTTGATGTGTCTGGCCCAGGGGACTGCAAAGCTTTCTACCCCCAGTCCTTGTCTCCAGTTTCATCCCCTCAACCAGAACTCAACTGCACGAAGTTCGGAATCCCTCCTTTCCTGCCCGGTCTCTCAAGCAAATGGGCACAAAAGATGAACCCAGGACTGGACTAGCCATCAGCCCTTAAGATGCTGGTCACCCACAGAGAGGAAGAGGTAGGTCGCTGCTTGGATTTCTCTGCCAGGGTCAGCTCTTCACATTAGAACCCACGAAGCTGGGGCTTCCAATTCCGCCACGGCCTCAGCTGCTGCCAGGGCTCTGGGTGGATGCAGGTACCAAGAGGCATTTATAAATCAGATGTGTGTAAAGCCTGTGTGTCTACACTGGAGGCTCTTGGAGTCCTGCTCTTGGGCCAGGTGTGTCCTGAGCTGCTCTAGACAGCCCACCTAGTCCCCTTCCTAAGAATGAGGAGAAGCCGGGCCAGACCGAGGGCTGGGAATGATTCCTGGCACCTTCTGAGATGAGCATTGTGAATTTATTTTTAGTGAAAAGTTGTAGCAAGTGTCACAGTCAAATGCCTGGACACAACGTGGTTGCCCTAGTCACAATGCGAAGGCCAGTGAGCACTCTCCTTCCAGGACAAAGGCCCAGGGGAAGGTCCCAGGGGATGGGGTCCCTGGAGCCATGCAAAGAAACACCTGAGGCTTTCCAGTTCCAGGCAGCTGGTTCTGGGGATGTGGCTGCAGCTGATGTAAAACCTTGGGGAGGTGTTTGGTGTGGCAAAGCACAGGGGACTCATTTCATTCACTGTGGGCTGTCTGTCCTGAGCTGCCTGGGCACTGCAGAGCACAATTATTCCCTCTGAGCCTGGGTAACTGATGACCCATCAAACCTCTCCCAGAAACAAGTTCCCAGAGCTGCTTCCTCCTTTCTTTCCTAACCTTATTAAAACAAAACAAAATCATCCCATTTTACACTACTGTGAATAGAGCTGTGATTTGTTTCATAATATGCACAGCCAATGTCATGTACTGAAGATAGTTCTATTGCGTTTCCAATTGAGTTTTCATGTCTGAGGAAAGCTGGGGTTGCAGGTGGCCCCACCCTGGCCTTTTCTCCCCTCTGGCTCCTGTTTACACTTGTGATGACAATGAACAATGAGGACACAATTTCAGGGGTTTACAATTTAGGTTTTATTTGGACCCAGGTTGCTTGGTGTGGCCTGCCACAGGACCCCGGGACAGACACTGGCCATCCTCTGACTTGTAGACTGGCCAGCTGTCAGTTGGAGAAGCGCAGCAGCTCCTCGTCCCCTGTGGACACAGAGAGACTCAGGGAGGGGTCCGTGGGCAGGGACACTCAGGGGAGGGAAGGCAGCTGTCACCTGGGGCCAGTAACCTCTGCTTGCTGAATGATTGCTCTTCAAGGGGCATTCCACAAAATGATGGGAGTTTTTTCCTCTTCTGATTTACCACAGGTGCCATTTTCCAGTGGGAAAATCAAGGCACAGACACCCAGAATGGTTGCTGTTCCCTGGAATGCTATTACTGTCATCCTTGTGTCATTGTCATTATTAGTAGCAGTTGCCATTAGCTGAGTACTAGCTGCACATCAGGTACTGGAAGGCAGGTGCTTTGTCCCGTTTTACAGAGGAAACTGACACTCATTGGCACTTGCTCAACGTTGCATGTGCAGAAGTAGAGCCCAGCTCTGCCCCACTCCTCAGCCAGCCCTGCATACCCTCTGCCAGTGCCTGGCTAGTACCTCCCCAGGGCCCAATTCTAGCTGGGGTAAGGCCTCTGGCTCAATCCCATTTCAGAGAGTAGATGGGCTGCTTACTGGGTAGAGAGTCCTGAACTCAGCTCTCCAGACCCCTGCTCCTCCCAGGGCCTCCCCACCTGGACTCCCACAGCCCCTTGCCCCAGCCTGGTACCCCGCAGGGCTGCCTACCATCACCGGGGACATCGCAGTACTCTCTGCACTCCTTCTCTGAGTAGAACTTGTTCCCATTGCCTTGGCAGCCCCCGTAGACAAAGTGGATACACTTTCCCTGGACAGCATCAAATGCCCAGAGCTGGTTGAAGGCTCGGCAGGGGCCCGGGACTATGGGGAGATTGCAGGCCGCTGTGGAGTGGGGAGACGGACGGAACATGAGAAACACTTGTGACTGCTGATCAGACATATGTGGGACTGCTGAGCCAGAGGGCCCTGCTCATCTAGAACATCTCATCCCTCTTTGACAGATGGGGAAACTGATGCCCACAGAAAGAAAATGATTTGCCTGAAGTCCTCCACATCCAAATGTGGAATTCCTATGATTTCAGGAAACCACCTGGAGTTCTACTCCTGGAGTGCCCTCCCTTATACCTTTTCAATTAACAGGTGGTCTACTGGAGGGACAGGGTCTTGAGGGTGCTGAGTGCACCAGGATGGGGGCCCGCACTCACCCACAGTCCGGCAGGTCTGCAGACACTCCTCCTCTGTGATGAAGTTGTTAGCGTTGCCCATGCAGCCGCCATACTGGAAAGTCTCACAGGCCATGGATGTGCCGTTATAGAAATACCTGTAGCTCATTCCCATGCAGGGACCTGCCGAGGGGCCCAGCTGGCAGGAATCTAGGGAGGGGCAGACCAGCAGCACTGACCAAGTGTTGAC